GGGTGATCGCTCTCAGGCCGTCCCCAAAGCACCGTCGGCCCCCACGGCCGTTGGTCCGGGCGGGGGAGGGAGAAAGTGAGACTGGGTGTCATCACCATCCATTGTCAGGAGGGGAGGAAATTGGAATCCAGCAGCGGCAAGGAGCAGCTGGGCGGTCACATCTGGGAATGCAAAGCCGACCTCCCCCCCCTCCGCCTCCTCTACCTCCTCCTCTCTCACCCCGGATCACTTCCGAAAGCACTTCGGCTTCAGCCCCTGCCTTGGCCAGAGGTTTCATTTTTAACTGAATATTTACAAAAGCTCGAAGCGTGTGAGGGGGGTGGGGTGGGGTGGAAATAGCGGCTGCTTCTTTTCCAGGGATTTATTTCATGGGGATGTGTTCAAGGCAAGAGCGAATTCAGAAGGATATCGACGTCGTGATCCAGAAGTCCAGAGCCGAAAAGGACTGCCTGTTTGCAGGTGAGTTCTCGCCTTTCACAGCCTCGGACCCAGCGCCGCTTCCTCGGCCCGCCCGCCGCCTCCCTTCCCGGGGTTCTGACCGCGCTCTGTGTGGCTGGGGGTAGGCTGCACGTCCCCATTCCGGGGTTCGTTTGGCAACAGCTGCAGCCACGGGAACGGGAGCCAAAAGGGGGAGGGGGTGTCAGGCTCACTTCCCCCCTCCCTCTCTGCCTGGGCAGCCACAGTTCCAGGGCCAGAGCCTGGGTGGCCCGAGAAGGTCTAGGCTGATGGACAGTGCATTCTGTTTTCCGTCTCTCCCCTCCCCCCGCAGATATCGGGGAGCGTCCAAGCCCGTCTCCCCGTTTCCAGCAGCAGTGGCCGAGCCAGGCGGGCTGGACCCGCTGGGTTTGCGCAATGGGCTGAGTGGCAGCGGCGGCGGCGGCCGGGAATGGAGCCCGCTGCGTTGCGCTGCGCTGCGCTCGGGGCTGCGCTCAGTGCTGAGGCCCCCCGGGGGGAAGCGCGGGGCCGAAGGCCAGCCCGGTCCACTCTCTGCAGACCTCTCCACTTGGAAATACATTGCCCCGGAAAGAGAAAGGCTGCTCGGGCTCCCGAGACACCTAGCGCCCCAGCCTGAGGGTCCATTTTGCGCCCCGGGGAGAGGGCTCTGAGGTTGCTCCAGCGGCCGCGAGCCTGACGGGGGCCGCTTCCGGCCGCCCCGCCTGGGAAATTCCCGCCGTTGCCATGGCAGCCGGCACTTGTTGCGGGGGGCGGCCTCCCGCTGTAGTTGGCCGGTGCGAAGTGTCCCCTCTGGCGAGGCCGCCTGCCACCCTCTCAGCCAAGGCCGGCCTTTGGTTTCTGCAGAAACACGGGGCCCAAATCATGAGCAGAGTTAAAAAATTTAAAAAAATCCAAGCGAAGGGTAGCATTTAACAGCACTTTTTGTTTCAGATTTCAGATACTCTGACTCCACCTTTACTTTCACCTACATTGGCGGCCCCAAAAGGTATTTGTGTGTATATATAGAGTAGCTTCATTTCCTGTTCACACGCTTGTGTTTCCTTTGTTCTTATCATGTTCCGTGTTCGGGTTGGGTTTTTTTCCCCCGCTTTGTTGATGTTGTTCTTTCTAAAACCACGTCCCAACAAGCCAGAGGTACCCAGGGCTTGAATGGCGGTGGAGAAATTCGGTTAACTCAAGAGTTTGTAAATCCATGCCACTGGCAGTGAACACAACTCTTTAAGCTCTTGACGTTAAAGCACTACTGTAGTATTTTAGCTCTTGAGGCGTTTTGGGGTTCACGGAGTCAAGTGGGGTACAAAGAAGGAATACTCGGTCTGGAGTGAAATGCATAAGGAGATAGCATGTCACAAAACAGTTTGATTTCAAGTAATCTTGGTGAGCTGAGGATTCGCGTTTCCATGTTTTCTGAAGGTTGATAGCGAAATAAACAGTCTGCCAATTCTCCATACGGTTTTATTTTAATTTTTTTTTAAAGGAATGCTGTTTTGGTTTTCACATTTGGTTGTAGGAAAGAATTTGGAGAGGTGTATTGTTGCTGGAGTGTACGGCTTCTCTGTTTTAGGGAAAAATAAAAAGAGCTGTATTAACAGTTTGAAGGAAACTCATCCTATTTTGTGTTTATCGAACTCGAGTTAAAATGAAAGATAACCATTAAGATGTTTGTTACCTTTACTTGCAAAGTTAGGGTTTTCTCTTTTTTTAGTCCTTTGGGAACATGGTTGTTTAAAAGAGTAGTGGCCCAGTATGAAGATTGTAAGAGATTTAGACTTAAGAGGACTCCCCTGATCCACCACTGGTGACATTTATTTAATATTAGCTCACGTTTGAAAATGTCTCTAAGCTAAGGGAGTTGAAATGTACAATATTTACAAACTTAAAAATTACAAGTGAAGTGTTCTTTTGTAAAATAATTTTTAAAGACCTTGCAATTCATGTGAGCTTTTAAAAAACTTAGGATTTGTGCTACATTTTACTTTTTCCTTACAAAAACCAAAACCCGAAACATTAATTAAAATGTGCTTCGAGAACATTAATAATAGTAATTATATAAGTATATATATAAATATCCTAAACCCCAGACTATTTTGTTGACTTGATATAATAGCAGAAAATGTGACAGTGAATCAGTAAATTTACATGAGTAAGTACTTTTTACGGAGAGAATGAAATTACAGTATGTCTTCGTTTCCTGGAGTATCATTATTTTTTATTTTTAATTAGGAATTTAAAAAAGAATTAAATTAGAGAAGAGTCAAATAAATTGCTCATACATTTAATATCCTTTAGGATTATTTTAACTGTTAAAATATGCTGCTCATAGAGTGTCCTGCTGAAAATATTCCCCATGCATTCAAGTAGATAGCTGCTCAGATGATCAGTTTCCCAGTTGCTGCTATTCATCTAGTGAGAGATAAGGGGCCAGGGAAAATCCTATGTGGGCTTTTCAGCTAACTAGCTTTTTTATTTTTAAAAACTCCCAAACAGACCTGCGTTCTTTTGGCTTCAGTTTAGGTATATGTGGAAAGAGGGAGTTGAACTATAAACACTTCAACTGTAAAAATCTCATTAAGATTCTTGATTAGCAGATTATTGAAGCAATGTTAACATAGCAAATCTTAGAGAAGGTAGAAGGAGCATGCCTTAAGGAGCAAGACCTGGGGTGGTGGTGGAAGGAATAATTAAGGTAACTTTAGTTTTTGGATGCAGGACAAGTATCAGACAAGTTCCAAAGTTGTTCTAAAGTAAAATAAGTTTCTTTTGCTATGTAATTTTATTAAGGGATGGTATTTTCTTTCTATCCTGATTTAAATTCCTGGAACTCTGTCTCTAAAGTGGAGCTGCCTGTAAAAAGGGGAAGACAACTGGTACAATTCCTGGCATGATGGTCTTGTCTTCTTTAAAGCCTGTTAATGATACAACGTACAAAAGGCTTTGTGGTATAGTAAAGATGGCTTGTATCTCTTGGTAGAGAACATTTTCCTGAAATAGTTTTTTTGAAAATGTGTGTGTGTTGTGTGCCTGTTAGTGTGTGTAGTTTCATTGCCTACTTATATTAAAGGCCTTGGAAGTTCTGATGGCCTAGTGAATAAGGATTTGTACTGCCAAACCAAAGGTAAGCATTTAGAATTCACCAGAGGGAGAGATGGACAGTCTGTTCCTGGGCAGTTATGAGTCAGTTCTGATACAGGGGCGCATAAGCACAACATCAGCATATTGACGTCTGGTATTTTATTACCAACTTTTCCATTCTAACAAGGCAGTCAGACATTTAAAAGTAAAATAATACTCTTCTGTTTTGATCTAATGTGTCTGTCAGTTCATAATGTTCAATTAAGAGTGTTATTTCAGGTAAACTAGATTGACTTTTACCATCTGAAGGAAGTGAGAGTCCTGTGGTGAGATAGTATATAATTATCCTGAAATGTATTTTACTACAATTTCATCTAAACCACTGAGAACATGCATCAAGGATAATTTTCAATTCAAGTTGTAGATCAAACTTATTATACCATTTCCTGTCTGACACTTTTCAGTAATGAATTACACTTTGTTCCAAAGATAAAAATTGTGCTTATATACTGTAATTAAAAAACATAAATAATGTTGACAGTCTTTTTTCCTCCCCAAGTATGTACATTTCTTATGGTTAAGTAGATGAGGGGTAATTGCAGTCCTCAGATATACAAAATGTTCGCTGGTATCTGTTCCTCTGTTCCTTGATGTACTTTACTTGATGTATCTGTTCCTTGATGGACTTTAGTTAGGGAGTGAGGAAACTGAGTTAAACCATTTGGAAGACTAATAATTCACTGTTCTCTAATGGGTAGTCTCATAGAATTATTATTTTCCCAACTTTTATATGTGTGAACTCTGGTTCTTGAGTTTTACAAGTGTGTTCAAAATCACCCAGCCAAATGACAGAGCTACCTTTGAACCTTGTTATTTCACAAGCTAAGATCTGTGCTTTCTTTGTATAGGTGTTCCCAAACTTTATGAGCAGGCACTTTTTAACATTAAAAATTATGCAAATACCTACTTGAGAGTTGTAATTTTAGTGTCTGTTGATTAAGAAATGCTTAATGAAGAAGAACACAGTATCTTCAATAATGTTAAAGGTGTGGATTTGGTTATTAATGTTGTTATGTGCCTGCAACTCATAGCAACCTTATGTACAATAGCTCTGAACTCTGCCCTATCCTGAGCCTGCTTCACTGACTCTGACACACCTAACCCTGTTATCCCAGTTAATGTGTCCATCTCATCTTGGGTGTTCCTCTCCTGTGTTGTCCATCTACTCTTCCAAGCTTGTCCTTCTCCAGTGACTGGTCCCTCTTCCCTCTTGACCCCATACCTAAAGTATGTGAAACAGAATTTCAAACTCTTTGCCTCCAAAGGGGAACTTAGTTTCACCCTCTCCAGAACAAACCTGTTTGTTCTCTTGGAGGTCCATGGTATGCTCAATACTCTAGCATCACAATTCAAAGGCACTGGTTTTTCTTCAGTCATCCTTAGTCATTGTCCAGCTCTCTGATGCATAGCAAGTAATTGGCCTGGATCAGGCACACCTTAGTCTCTAGACTGACGTTGGACATACATGGAAAAATTGATTCCATTTATTTTATCTCAGTGGTTCTTTGAGTCTTCAGGTTAATTGCAGTACAGCCGTTAGCAGTTCAGGGCCTTCCTTAGGCTCTTCACCTTTGCTGCCTCTTAATTTTAGAGGGAAGAACACTGATGTGGTAGGGAGCTGTCTTGCCAGGCTGAGGGAACACAGTTTGAATCCATCAGCTGCGCCCCTAGGAGAAAGATGAGCAGTCTCCTCCCATGCACTGTACTGCCTCTGAAAACTCACTGGAGAGTCAGCAATGAGTTGATTACAACTCGATGGTACCTAACAGCAGCAACAATAGAGTATGTAGAACTGAAAGCCAGGAGTTTCAGCTGTATACAGCTATAAGATTATGCAAAAGTTATTCCATCTGTAAAAACTTAGTCATGTTTGTGATCTCCTCTTGTTCTTTTTTATTTCTCTTATTCCTTTCGTCCCTATTGAGCTTAGTAGGAGTAAACTCATTAAAACCAGAAAGGTTCTGGATTTGGATTCTTTGTCTCCAAATTTTAGAATAAAATTTGGATTTAAAGTGGGTTTAACTCCACATGAAATTAGATGTAGAGTTAGGGATGAAGTGTGTGATGAAGGTTACTGAGCTCTTTGAGGGTAACAAGGAAGCATGTTGATTTCCTGTGACCAGTGGTTTACAGAAACAGGGAAAGAGAAAGGGCGACTCAGGGAGCCTGCTTAACAGACCGTTCTGGGATTTACTGATTGTAAGCTTTAAGCAAACAAAAAAAGTATTGTGAAGATACAACACTTAAACTTTAAAAATGGTTAATTATTGTTTTTTGTGGTTTTTTTAAAAATTTAATTTTATTTTATTATTTGTGTGTACCGTCAAATCAGATCTGACTGGTACAGGAGGAGACCGTCCCTCCTTCCCCGGCAGAGCACCTGGTGGATTTGAACCGTGAGCCCTTGGGATTGCAGTGCAGCTTCCTGCCACCAGGCCACCGGGGCTCCCCATAAAAATGGTTAATTAAAAAAAGTAAAAAAATGGTTAATTATTGTGAAAAAAATATAGAAAAATAAGCAAAACCATCAAGGACCAACACTGAATCCATTGGTTATTTCTGTAATGAGGAACTGTCTTTCATCTGCTGCTTTCTGTCAGATGTTGTTCTAAAGCTGAGCATCCAAATTAAGACAGACTGAGAAGAAGGATTGGTCATCCCCTTCTGGAATGAAAGGCCTTCGAAAATCCTGTGTACAACAGAGCACACTTCTTATTACTGTGACGAGAGGGATTGACTCGGGTAATGGGGAAATGTGTGTCTGAATTAGTGAGACTAGCTCAAGATAGGGCAGCAGGGTACAGAGCTGTTGTGTATAGGGTTGCTGTGAGTTGCAAGCAACTTGATGGCACA